ACCCCCACCCCCACCCCACCCCCCCCCGAGGTCCCATGGTGTTTGGGCTGAGCTGACAGTTCGGGCCTGGGGCTGTGTGTTTGCAGCTGTGAACAGGTCATGTGCTGCCTGGCCCAGCAGGCCAGTGAGAAGATCGACCGTTTCCGCGCTCACGCCGCCCACGTGTTCCTGACTATCCTGCACTGTGATAGCTCTCCCATCCCCCATGTGCCCCACCGAGGAGAACTGGAGAAGCTGCTTCCCAGGTACTGTTGGGTGCAGGCCGCCCCCATGTGCCAGGCCCTCCAGCTGTAGGGAGAGCCTGGGGAGTCTGGCTGCACTGCGTGTGCTCTCTTGCAGGTCAGACGTGGCCTCTGTGAACTGGAATGTGCCGGCCCAGGCCTTCCCTCGCGTCACACAGCTCCTGGGGCTGCCCACATACCGCTACCACATCCTGCTGGGGCTGGTCGTGTCTGTGGGCGGCCTGACAGAGTCAACGGTGAGGAAGCATCTGGTGGGGCTGGGGAGGGAGACTTGGGGGGCTCCAGATGGTGCCTGAACTCTCCTCCTGGGAGGGAGCGATGCTGGATCCGCATGCAGGAAGGCTGAGCCTCCAGAAGCCAGTGTCTTTTCTTCTGTGGCTTTCTTCCTCTTTTGGGAATGTTTGATTAGGGGGTCAAGGGCCCAGCTCCTTCCCCATGATGTCGGAGGCCAAGTGGCCTTGTGCTCTATGGGCAGGATTCTGGAGAGCAGCCTGCAGTGTGGTCATGTCTGATGAAGGGGGATCTTGTGTTTTAAGTGGGGACTCATTAGCAGGACTCTGGAAGTGGCTCTGTTTTCTGTGGGCTACTGCCCGGGGGCTGGACCATTAGTGGCTCTGCCATGGGGTGTGGCTGACCCATTTCTGCTGTGCCTTTTGTGGCCTTGCTGCAAGGCACACTGCCTGAAAATGACAGGCAAGTTTGAACTGTGTTTGTGTCTTTAAAACATTTGAAATTTAGACATTGTCGTAAATGGCTACTTAGATTTTTCTGTTATATTTTTAGCTGATACATAAGGAGCAATTAATTTTTCTTAAACTTTTTCTTTGGGAGATCTTGAAACATGCACAAAAGTACAGAGAATGTCATGGCGAACTTCGGCATGCCTGTGCAGCTTCATGGTCACTGGGTTCTGCCAGTTTTGTCTCACCATATGTCACACATGACACCTACAAACAGAAATTGTATAACTAACCCTGTGAGTACAGTTGACCCTTGAATAACACGGGTGTTAGGGGTGCTTACCCCCATGCAGCAGAAAATCCATATATAACTCCTGACTCCCCCTCAGAAGTTAACGACTAATAGTCTACTGTTGACTGAAAGCCTTACTGATAACATAAATTGTCTATTAACACATACTTCTTTTTTTTTCCTTTTTGGCCACAAAACAAGTCTTAATGCATTTAAAAAGACTAAGATCATACAAAATAATAGAAAATATGTTCTCTGACCACAGTAACAGAAGGAAATTTAGAAAATTCACAAATGTGTGCAGATTAAACAACACTCTCCTAAATAATGGGTTAAAAAAACAATCACAGGGAAATTAGAGAGTACTTTGAGATAAAAATCAAAGTGCAACATATCTAAATTTATAGGATGCAGGGCTCAAGCAGTGCTTGGAAGAAAGTTTATACTTGTAAACACCTATATTAAAAATGAGAAAAGTCTCATCAGTAATGTAAACTTCTACCTTAAGAAAACAGAAAAAGAGCAAACTAAACCAAAGGCAAATATAAGTAGGAAATAACAAAGATTATAACAGAAATATATGAAATAGGGAATTAAAAAACAATAGAGAAAATCAACAAAACCAAAAATTGATTCTGCAAAAAGATCAAGAAAATTTGTAAACTTTTATCTAGACTGACCAAGAAAAAGAGATGACCGAAATTACTAAAATCAGAAATAAAGCGGGGGCATTATTACATCTGTTGTTTTGTGGCAGTAAGATTTAGTTTCTTTCTCTTTCCTGTTTGCATTTTTGTTCTACCAGTAGGTTTTGTTCTTTCCTGTGTATTTGTGACGTGATTATCATTTTTCAGATTCCAGATGCGGGACTTCCTTGAGGATTTCTTGTGGTGCTGGTTGTATGGTGGTGAACTCCCACAATTTTTGTTTGTATAGAAAATATACTATTTTCCCCTCACTTCTGAAGGATAGCCTCGCTGGGTATAGTATTCCTGGCTGGCAGTTTTTTTCTTTTAGTATTTTGAGTATATCATCTCATTGTCTTCTGGCCTGTAGAGCTTCTGTTGAGAAGTCTGCTGTTAGTCTCATAGGGGCTCCCTTATAGGTGACTTGACACTTTTATCTTTATTCTTTTAAGATTTTTTATTTGTCTTTGAGCTTTGCCAGTTTGACTATAATGTGTCTTGGAGAGGATCTTTTTGGGTTGAATATGTTTGGGGACCTTTGAGCCTCCTGGATTTGAAGGTCCATGTCTTTTTCTTTCTCCTCCCCTTCTAGAATACCCTTGATTGGAATGTTTGTGCACTTAAAGCTGTCTGATAGCTCTCTCAGATTTTCTTCATTTTCAAAAAATTCTTTTTTCTGCCTGGGTTATTTGAAAAGACTACCTTCAAGATCAGAAATTCTGGGCCGGCCTGGTGGTGCACTTGGTAGAGTGCAGTGCTTGGGAGCGTGGCGGCGCTCCCGCCGAGGGTTCGGATCCCATATAGAGACCGGTCCGCTCACTGGTTGAGCGCGGTGCCGGCACGACACCAAGGGTTGCGATCCCGTTGCTGGTTGCGGTACGGGCGCGACACTGAGGGTTGCGATCCCATTACCGGTCACGAAAAAAAGACAAAATGGAAAGAAAAAAAAAAAGATCAGAAATTCTTTCTTTGGCTTGTTCAGACCTACTGCTTAAGATATCAGACTTCCCCCTCACCACCCCCCATTTCTTTGAGTGACACTTTCAGTTCCATGCATTCTGCTACATTCTTTAAGGTATTATCTCTCTTTAAATTCCTTCTTCATATCCTGGATTTTTTTTCTCATTTCATTATGTTGTCTAACTGAGTCTTTTTATATCTTGGTGAGTTTCCTTAAGATTGTTGCTTGGAACTCCTTTTCAGCCATTTCAGGGGTTTCCTGCTCTATAGGGTCTGGTATCTGAGGATTACTATATTCTTTTAGTGGTGTCATAGTTTCGTGGGTTTTCATATTTCCAGTATCTCTTTGTTGATGTCTGGTCATCCGGTAGACTGGCTGCTGCTGCTTTTCCTCTGGAGTGGGCTTTGAGGAGAAAGACATTCTCTTTTTCCAGTCTCTGCTGGTGACTCTCCTTGTGTCATGGCAGTTGCGTGTCTGGTGGGCCGCCTGCATGGTGGCAGTGTCTACTGCTGTGGCATCAAGCTGCTGTTGCAGCAGCTGTGGCTGTGGTAGTAGTGTTTTTGACATGCTCTTCCCTGCTTCCAGGCAGAGGGTTGCCCTCCCATTAACACATACTTTGTATGTTATATGTATTATATACTGTATACTTAAAATGAAGATAGAGAAAAGAAAATGTTATTAAGAAAACCATAAAGAAGAGAAAATACGTTTATAATATTTATGAAAAAAATCCATGTGTAAGCAGACCCACATAGTTCAAACGTCAACTGTACTTCCTATATCTCTTAAAGGTGAAGAGTTTTTTAAAGGCTAACCACAACACTATTATCACACTTAAAATGAACCTAGTTTAATTTCAGTTTGTGTCAAGTTTATTTAAATCAGAATCAGAGAAGGTCCCAGCCTGCACCTGGCTGCTATGTCCCAAGACACTGACGTGTCACAGTTCTGCCCCCCCTCCCCCTCCACGGCTTTCATGCCATTTATTCTTTGGAGAAACTGCGTGTTTGTCCTGTGGTACTTCCCACCTGCTGGATGCATTGTCATGATGGGAGTGGTGTGGGTCTCCACACCTGTATTTCCTGCACTGTCCTCCTTTGCTCTAGTTTAGCCTCCTTGACAGCTCAGTGCTCGGCAGCTGTGTAGAGAACTATAAGCAGACTCTGGGCCTGTCCCTATGACCCTCTCTCCTCCTGGCATGTCCTTGCCTTCCTGTCTTCTCTGTGGTGCTAAATCCGAACTAATGGGTCGAGGCCCATGTGCTCCGCATTTTCTGTCAGCTGTGCTCAAAGGGATGGGCAGGCACTGTGGGCCTGGGTTCTAGATCTGTCTCAGCCTCTGGTATGCCCAGGCCCAGCTCAGGCTGTGTGGGGAGGGTCTCAAGCCTTCCCACTGCTGTGAGCCTAGAAATGCCTCAGGAGTGTGTGGTCAATTACTTGTGATGCCTGTGCTCTGGCCTCGGGATCTGCTTCAAGGTTCAAGCGGTCTCCCTCTGACAGTGTCTAGTTCTGGCAAACACATGACAGCGTGTGCAGCTTAGGTTGTGCTGCTGCCGTTGAGAGCAGCATTTCTGTTTGGGGTGTTTGCTCCCAGGTGGCTCTGTGCCCACTGTCCACATTGGCCAAGCATTTGCAAGACCCTCACTTCTGTACAGTTCAAAGTCATCTCTTCTCTTCAGCAGATATTTGAGCATAGGTCTTGGTGTGTCCAACCCTGGGGTGGGGGGAGTGGTGGCAAGGGGACCGCGGTGATGCTCTGCCTGCCTTATGAGGCCGCTGCTCCTTGTTGCAGGTCAGGCACTCCACACACAGTCTGTTTGAATACATGAAGGGGATTCAGAGTGACCCACAGGCCTTGGAGAGCTTTGGTGCGACGCTTCTTCAGGTCTTTGAGGATAATCTTCTGAATGACAGGTGAGTGGGTCTTATGGCATGGAGGCGGGGTGGCATCTACGCTTCTCATCACGTTTCCACACATCTCCAGGGTTTTTCTCCCCTGGCTGGAATTTTAAGGGAGAAGTGGAGCACACAGTTGGGTCCAGTCGGCAGGCAAGGAGCAGGGCACAGGCGGGGTGCGGGTGGGCCCAAAGCACGCAGCTCACTGGCTGAGCCAAGAGTGGGGACCAGCCTAGGCTCGAGCTCCGGCCCCTGCACCTCCTTGGGGCCCTCCCCCAACCTGCGCTTTGGGTAGGAGGTGACCATTTCTTTGTACTCTGGAAGTAAAGATAACGTAAACTATGAACCAGGAAGGGTGGAATATGGTCCTGCTGCAGGAACTCTCCCCTGCGATGCTCAGCTGATGCAGCGTCAGCCTGTGTGCAAACACAAGAGCTGAGCATTTCCAAAATGGAATGTCGCAGTGACGAGTATGACCTGCTTTCTAGAAGTTTGTAGCTTTAGCTTTTTGGTACCTGCTTTCATGTGAAGGTGGGGTGCAGATTTCAGGGACCTCAACCTCAGAATTGGAAGCGTCCTCCCATCACCCTCTAGATGGTCGTTCCTGGCGTGTGCATGAGGGGACAGGGACTCCGGTGCGGTGTCCCCTCATGAGAGGCCTCGCCAGCTGTTGTGCCGCGCAGAGCACAGGTGCAGCTCTCAGCAAGCAGGAACTCAGCCTGGCTTTCTTTTACTCTTTGTAAAAAGCTCTGTCAAGGTATAAATGACATTGTCAGTAGTGCTTAAAGTGTACGGTTTAATCAGTTTTGACACATGGACACCTGTGACACCAGCAGGCACATCCTTGACCCCACGGCTTCCTCCTGCCCCTTAGCATCTCTCCACTGCCCCCCGCCCACAGGCAGCCACTGATTTGCAGTCACTGTGGCTTAGGGTTTGGTGTGTCCCGGAATTTGATTTAAATGGAATCGTGGGTGTGAACTCTTTCTCTTGCTCCTTGGACCACTCATTCCTTCTGATTGTCGGCTGAGTTCTGCGGGTGAGCCCCAGTTCATCTGTTAATGGACACTTGGTTGTTTCTGTTTTGGGGCTGTTACCAATAAAACTGCAATGAACATGCAGGTGCAGGTGTTTGTGTGGAAGAACATCTCCTGTTCTCTTGGAGAGTGGCTGGAACACGTGGTGGGTAGATGTTTTCCAGGGTGTCTGTGCTGTTTCACGTTCCCGCTGAGCACGTCTGAGAGTTCTGGCTGTCGCACATCCTCCCAGCACCTGGCCTGGGCAGTCCTCCCAGTTCCAGCCTTTCTGGCAGGTGCCTGCAGAGGCGCCTCGCAGCTTTAGCTTATGTCACCCCAGTGACCGAGGGTGTCGCGCATCTTCTCATGGACTGTGGGCTATCCTCGCATCCTCTCTGGTGAAGGGTCTGTTCATTTCTTTTGCCTGTTTTTTTAATTGGGCTGTTTTCTTCCCCCTCGCTGTTGCGTTTTGAGACTTCCTTGTATGTACCATGGACCCTCCATCGGGACGTGGTTTGTATGTACTTTCCCCACCTGCTGCTCGTGTTCCCACGTCCTTAGTCTCTCTCAGAGCAAGTGTTCACTCTTTCAGACCCCAGCCTATCCACCTGTTCCTTTATGGGTTGTGACTTTTGTGTCGTGTCTAAGAAATCTTTGCCTAATCCGAGATCACAAAGATTTTCTATGTTTTCTTCTAGAAGCTTTATAGTTTTAGGTTTTACATTGAAACCTAAAGTCTCTCCTGGGCCCATCTTTGCATGTGGAGCCGTGTATGGTCTGGGCTTGTTTCTGCTTTTGCCCGTGGATGTCCAGTCGTCCCCATGCTGATTGCTGGGAAGACTCTCCCTTCTCCAACATGTTGCTTTTGTGCCCTTGTCAGAAATCGTAGATGTGTAGGTTTATCTTGTACTCTTCTGTGTTTCGATCTCTTTGCTTATGTTTGCTCTAGTACCACCCCATGTGGTCACGTTAGCTTGACCGTGATTCCGGAAATTAAGTAGCGTCGGCCTCCAGCTCTGTTCTTTTTTCCCACAGCTGTTTGAGCTTTTCTTGATCCTTTGTGTTTCCACAGAATGTCGTGCCGGGGTTGACTGGGATCGTGCTGACAGCATGACAGGACGGGGTTCCTCCCTCCCCAGGTCACGTAACCCTCCGCACAGTGCCTTTCATCTGTCTCACTGCTCGCCTCTCCCCTCAGGGTGTCCGTGCCGCTGCTGAAGACGCTGGACCAGCTGCTGGCCAATGGGTGCTTTGACATCTTCACCACAGAGGAGAAGTGAGGATTGCTTTAATTGGTGACTCTTTTCTGCTTAAGCCTAAGTAGCTCACGTCTTAAAGGAACGGTAATCCAGAGATCATAATTCTAGGAGATCACTGTCTAGGTGGGTGGGAGGGGGGCAGTCTCCCGCTGTGGCATTTGCCGTCCTGGTGGGGTACAGCAGCAGAGGTGTCCCCCGCCCCCCACCCCGATCAGGGGCTGGCTGCCAGGGCAGTTCTAGAAACTGCTAGAGTCTGAGGAGCAAGGAAGGGCCTGGGCTGGATAGCGGGTGGCAAAGGGGAGGTTGCAGGGGGTTTGTGATTGTTGCACGGGCCTGGGTGGAGACCTGGAGCCCACCTCATGCAGAGGCTGGATATGGGTGCAAGGAGGCAGGGAGAGGCTGTGTTCTGCCCCTGCTTGGTTCCACGTTTCCTCTGACGTGGCTCAGGGCTGGTTGGCTTCAGTGTGTGAGTGACCACATCATGGGCCATATGTCCTTCCTTCTTTGAATGCCTGATGATTTTTATTAGATCCCAGACATTGCATATGTTACCTTGTTGGGCTGGATATTTTTGTATCCTGTAAAGATTATTGAGCTTTCTTCTGGGACAGTTAAGTTACTTGGAAACAATTTGATCTACTCTCAAGTTGTCAGGTGAGCCCAGCGCAGCATGTATCTCAGGTTAATTTTCCCCACTCTGAGGTCTCTGTTCACTGGTTCATTTCTATGCTCCTTCCGGCTGCGGGGAGCAGGGCCAGGGTCTTCCTGTCATCTTTCTTGGGGGTTCTTCCCCAGCCCTGGGTAAAGTCCTTGCACTCACACGCTAACCAAGACTCAGGTGAGTCTTCGAGCGCCCTGGGAACCCCCCTCCCCACTGGCGTTCTGCTCCGAGGACCTCAACAAACTGCGTACATAGGAAACTGGGCCTCTGCATCCCACGGGAGCCTGCCGTCTCCTGAATTTTGTTCGGTTTTTAACTGTTTCAGGTGGGAGGGTGAGTCTGGTGTCTTCCTATCTTTGCTGGGTGCCTCACAGCTCAGATGCTTTTACAATCTAATAACATTGAAGCATTCGCCCTTTTAATTTGGAAAGGGAATGTCACCGACTTATATCTACGACTGGACACTGCATGCATGAGTCAGCTTAGTCATGGCATGTCATCCTTTTACATGTGGCATGATTTGGCTTGTTAAATATTCTATTTAAATTTTTAACATATATTTTCCTGGTTTAAAATTGTCAAAATAAGATGGTGGAGAAAGTACCTCCTGCTGTGAGTGTAGCTCTTATTTCTCTTTATAGTTTCATCAGTTTTTTCTTGGGTTTTGAGGCTACATTTTTTGTAGATACAGATTTAGGATTGGGTCTTGTTACTATTATAATGACCCTTTTCATTTCTAGGGATGCTTGAGCTTTCCACTCTGTTTTGTTTTAATACAGCTGCACCAGCTTCGACTTTGCTCTGTGAACTTCCTTCCATTCTTTTGCTTTCAGCATTCTCATGTGTTTTAGTGAGTCTCTGATAAACAGTATACAGTTTTCTAGAAATTTAGTCTGACAGTCTTCGTCTTTTAACTGGGTCCTTTAATCGATTGTATCTTGTGTTCATCCATTTCTGTTGCTTATAAAAGAAATACCTGAAACTGGGTAATTTGAGAGGAACAATATGTATTGCTTACGGTTGCAGAGGCTGGGAAGTCCAAAGTCCAGGGAACACACCTGGTGAGGACCTTCTTGGTATTGACTCTACAGTGATACAGGGTTCACATGACAAAATGCCAGGAGGGGGAGAGAGAGAGCACGCGAGCACCTGCGAGCATGTTGCACACACTCTCCTTTTAAAGCCACCAGGACCACGCCCATCACTCCATGAGTGGATCAGTCCTTTCACATGGGCACAGTCCTCACAATCTAACCAGCTCTTCAAGGCCCTGCCTTAATTATCATAATTGGATTTCCCACCCTCCTAACACTGTCACTATGGGGACATTAAGTCTGCAGCACATCACATCCATCCTCTGGGTTTAAGTCTGCCGTTTGAGGACATGTTTCCATTTGTTCTGCTGTGCTGTGTCCCCTCTCTTCTGCTTAATAAAATAATTTGTATTCCGTTTTTCTCATATATTTGAGATTTTTCACTTTTTTCTTTCAATTTAGCCTAGAAATTACCCCGAAAATTCTTGACTTAGCAGAGTTCAGTTTTCAGTATTTTTTCCTTCCTCTTGGATAGCACAGGATATTGGAACAGGTTTCTGCCTGTTCCCTCTTGAGTTACATTATTTCACATATTTTGTTTTAGATACGTGTAATTTTCCATTTGTTGTTTTGTGCAATTAGTGTTTATTTTGAATTGTCCACATTTTTGCTACTTTTTTGTCCTCGTTGCTTACTGCATTTGGAGACGACCACCCTCCTGCCCAGTCTGGGATCACATCCCCTCTACCTAAAGAACATCCTTTGGAATCTCCTCTGGTGAGGTCTGCTGGTGGTAATGTGTCTGCTTTTATTTGCAAATTATTTTCAGAGGCTATAGAATTCGAGGCAGCTGTTTATTTCAGCACTTAAGGGTATTTTCCCACTCCTTCTGGCTTCTTTTGAGCAGTCACCTGTCATAAGCACTGAAAGCATCCGGGGTTCCTGCCTCCTCCTGAGGTTTTCTCCCTTGTCCTCGTCTTCCTGTCGTCCTCTTTACTGGGTCTGGCTGTCAGTCACCCCCTGCGTTTCACATCCTTCCTTCCTTCCTTCTCTACTTTATGACTTCTGACCTGCTGTTCAATTTGTCTGTGGCACTCTTATTTATGGTTTTTCATTCAGTTTGTTTCCAAGTCTGCCATGTCATTTCTCACTTTCCAGTTCCCTGCCAGCCTTTTTGTGCCTGGCTTTTGCCTTCTTGAATGCCCTTCTCCTGTTGTCTTACCAGGTGTGTCTGATTTGCAGTCCTTGGGGGTTTCCGTGTCTGGAGTGTCCATGTTCCACGTCTGGGGTGTCCAGAGCACATGGTGTGTGATGTGTCTGGGGTGTCCACGGTGGGTGGTGCATCAGCTTATCACTTACTGTCTGGAGGCTATATTTGAAGAATCATGTTGGAGTAAGTTGAGGCCTGGGGGGAAGAAGTTCTTTGGCAGCAGGGCCTTAGGTAGCTTTGCTGGGCACCTGAGGGAGGGCGGTGGCAATCTGGAGTCTCCGTGACCCATGTCCAGCACTGGGCTGTCTGGACTGTCAGTGGCTGGAGCTTGGATCTATGGCCTGGCTGAGGCAGAAGTGGCTGCCCGGGAGCCTTCGCAGAGCTGAGTGTTTATTGGGCCCACACCTCTGTCAGCTCGAGCTCTGGTTCTTGTCCCTGTTGCTGCTGAAGGCTCGGAACGACACTGCTCAGCCCCCATGTGCTCTGTGGAGCTGCGGTCCTCCCGACGATGCTGTAGCAGCCCAAGTGCTGGGCTCCTCTCTGGAGGCACAGGGGCACCCCGCTGTGCTGAGAACAGACTCGGAGGGCAGGGGGCGGGGGGCCCCAGGGGCTGCTGTAAATTCCTGTGAGAGAGGAGCCAGGAGAGGGCTGGACTTGAGGTGCATGCTGCTGTGACCTGCGAGCTCGCTGGCAGGTCAGGGGACACGGGAGCCAGGGATGGCCGTGGACCTCCTGGACTGAGCAACTGGAAGGATGGCAGGAAACTGGATGGCACCAGTGGGATCCGGGGCCTCTGGAAATCCGGTTTGTAGATGTTTGGGTTGAGGTGCTTATTAGATCCCATCCAGAAGAAAGGGATCTGCAGGGCTGCAGCTCAGTAGAAAGTCCTCAGAGTGGGCAGTGTGTGAGCCACGGTCACCGAGGGTGTGGGTGTGGACCTAGAAGGGCCTGACAGAGCTGTGGGGTGCCAGCAAGTGGTCGGGGTCAGAGACACATGTGATCACCTGTCAGTGGCAGTGAAGACCTGGGGGCTGGGAGGCAGTGCCAGTGAGGGGCTGAGGGACCTCGTCTGCTGCTTTATCCCAAGGGGAAGGGAGTGTTCTTCTGGGGCCACTTTCAGTCTGGGCAGCTGCTGGCACGGACTGACCCTGAAATGGCAGCTGCCTGGTGTGATGGGTCCCCAGGGTGGGGATGGTTGGGGCCTGGCGAGGGCTTGGGCATCCTCCCCTCCTGTGATCCTGGGGGCAGGAGCTGGCCTGGGCCATGGCGTGGGCCTCTTCTGTTGAGGTGAGTCATTTGGGCGCAGGTGATGCCTTCATGACTACACTGGGGTCAGCCTGCCCAGCGTTTGTGAACACCGTGGGTGCACGAGGCAGGCGGGTGTCTGCTCTCTGCTGCAGTTGTTGGAGGAGTAGAGAGATGGCCTTCCATCCCCAGGAGGCTGGCCTCTGGTCACAGACGTCTGTAGGCGTCCTCTCCAGAACAGCTCGCTCTCTTTCCAGCCACCCCTTCTGTGTGAAGCTGCTTGCGCTCTGCAAGGAAGAAATCAAGAAGTCAAAAGATGTCCAGAAGCTTCGGTCAAGCATCGCAGTGTGAGTTTTCAGCATTCCTGCCTGAGACAGTGGCTGAGCGCACAGCTGCAGCTCTTGGGGGGAAGCAGCCTGCTTTGATCCCAAGGCTGTCTAAAGTCATGAGTCATGATGTCCGTTTAAAACGATTGTGCCAAAAGCTGAGGCAGCCCCAGCAAAGCGGGTCAAACAATGACAATTGTGGGCATTTCTGCCAGAATGGGCACTGTGCCCTGCCCGCCTGCAGCCCTTGGAGCACGGTCCTGTCCTGTGGGGTGGGGGTCACGAGGGACCCCTGGAGAGGAGGAGTGTGCGTTGAGGCTGTCTTGAACTGAGGCAGGTTTGCGTAGACGCCGAACCTGCACAGCCCCAGGGGGCCCCGGGTGTGCTTGCTTCCCAGCACCTGCTTTCCCTGTGCGACCTTCACACACACACACACACGCACGCACACACACACACACACACACACACACGTGCACACGCAGGACAGGGCCCTTGGCCTGCCCCATGCTCAGGCGTGTGCTGCTCTCCTGCAGGTTTTGTGGGATGGTGCAGTTCCCCGGCGACGTGAGAACAAAGGTCCTTCTGCAGCTGCTGCTGCTGCTCTGCCACCCTTTCCCCCTGGTGAGCATCCTCCCCACGTACCATTACCACACGGACACAAGCCCCTCGTAACAAAAAGGATGTCACCGGTGCTGTGGCATTGTGGTTCTGGAAGTCAGTGTTTTGGCTTCAGGACCGGGGATCCTGGCTGGTATTTGTATTGATGTGAACTGGGTGGGGAGGGGCCACCATGGCTGTCCTGTGGGTGTGGTTCAAGGCCTCGTAGGAGGTCCCAGGCTGAAGTGGCTCACCTAGAAGCCCCCCTCCACCCCAGGGCTAGATTTCCTGGGATTTTTCTCCTCTGGCCACACACACACAAAAAAACTTTAAATGACCCAAAAATGACATTTTGCTGAGAGGTGCTGTGGGGTTCTCAAAGTAGGGTGGCTGGACCCTGGGCTCAGCACCCTCTGGGGCCCTGACCGGTGATGCAGGAACTCTTGGGGAGGGCCCAGGGTGTCTGCGAGCACCTGCTCAGTTTCACGTGTTAGCACGAGGGCACAGCTAGAGAAGAAACCAGGTGGGATTGTTTTCCTGATAAGGAAGCAGGTTTTTTAATGAGACGTTTAAATAAGAACAGCGTGACTTGGGCTGTTGGAAGTCACGGCTCCTGTCTGATGAGGGCTGCTGGCCACCAGGCCCTGCCCCGCTGCCTCCTGGCGAAGCACGTCCCGTGTAGCGGGGTCTCCCTCTGGGGTGGGTGTAAGGTCGGCTCCCTCTTTCACTGTCACCTCTGCCTCTCACTCATGTGCACTGTCCCTGCCCCAGATCCGCAAGACCACGGCCAGCCAGATGTACGAGATGGTACTCACGTACAGCGAGGTCGTGGGCACAGACGCCCTGGACGAGGTCATGGCTGTGCTCAGCGACACGGCGTGGTGCGTACAAGCGAGCCCCCTTTCCATGCCGTCCTGTCCCACGCGGCATCTTCTCCCTTTCTGCCCCCGAGCCCGCCAGCCTCTCCCAGAACCCCTGAAGGGAAGGGGACAGAGATTCCTAACCTGAGGGCCTCGGCTCCCGACTTCACGAGGGGCCGCGCTGTGTTAACTGAGGTCCCTCCCGTCGGCGTGTGGGCGTTAGCACAGCCTGCCGGAGGGGTGCCCGCTGGGGAAAGCTCAGGGGGAAGGTTTTCTGAGTGAGATTGTTTTTCTCTCAAATAGTTTTTTGTAAGTGAGAGGGTGGGCTGTTCGACCTTTGCTTGGTTAGAGGATAGTTTTTGTTTCTCTGAGGGCTGCTTTTACGTGAGCTAGGCACGTGGCCATCCCTGGGCACCCATGGGCGCTGACCCACCTGCTTTTGCTGTTTTACTGGTGTTGAGGTCAGTCTGGAAATGGCAGCTCCTGCCGCTGAATGGCAGCAATAGGGGGTGTGGTAAGTGCAGTGCAGCCGTTTATCCTGCCCCAGGACATGCCACGGGTGCTGGTGGCACAGTCCTCACGTCCCTGCGTTTTGAGGGACTCACTGCCACCGCCTTTCCTCCTCAGGGATGCGGAGCTCCCGGTTGTGAGAGAGCAGCGCAATCGGCTGTGCGACCTCCTCGGTGTGCCCAGACCCCAGCTCGTCATCAAGGTAGCCCCTGCGTCACCTCTGCAGTATTGTGGGGACACAAGCTGCCCTCGTTGCCCTGAGCTCTGGAGTGACAAACGTTCTGGGCCACCCATCACATACATGTGCCCCCATCATCTCCCCGTCATCACCCAGGGATATGGGACTGGCAGGACAGCCCTCCGTGGTTGCTGCCCACACCTGCGAGTCGAGGCCGTGTGTGTGTGGGCAGGACTGGCACCAGACCCACTCCACAGCTCCTTACTCTAGGCCCACGGATCTGTCCATGCTCCAAAGGCCACAGGTGTACGACGGTCAAGAGCACGTGGAGTGTTACAGGCACCCGGGGCTGGGTGCTCCTGCTGGTACCGCAGCACGCCCCAGCCACACCTCTCGGTCCCACTGGGAATGCCAGCAGAACCACCTGGTGCGGGCCTTGTGCTGCGCCAGCGCCAAGTCTCCCTGGTTCCTGGAGACCTTGCTGTGTGAAGAAGAGGCCTCGGCTCCCCCAGTCTGGTTCTCCTGTGCTTCCAGTATTGCCTCCCTGGAAACTGTCCTACCCAGGGCCGATGTCCCTCCCTGGCCGCCTACTCTCAGGTGTCTGTCCACTGAGGACACCTCTCATTCACCGTTTTCCACGGCCTTGGTGTGTCCTTGCCTCCCTGGAAACTGTCCTACCCAGGGCCGATGTCCCTCCCTGGCCGCCTACTCTCAGGCATCTGTCCACTGAGGACACCTCTCATTCACCGTTTTCCACGGCCTTGGTGTGTCCGAGTAGCTGCAGTTTGTGAGGTCACAGGGCTCTGAGCTCCACTCTTTGAGGGGGTTCCAGAACAGTCCCGGCATCTGGGCAAAGGGTCCGGTTGCTCTCCACAGTCCCTCATCTGTGACGTGGACGTGGTCACCACTCGCACCTGGTGAGAACTCGCTGGGCCGTCTCCCGGTCCCCGATGCCTCGTGAGCTGTGTCCTCTGGAGACATTGCTCTTGAACTTTTCACAGAGCAGGAACCTACCTGCAGAAAAGAGACTGGTCCTGGTGTACAACTCACCCGACCAAGAGCAGAGTGGACCCTCCTGCGCAGTCCTGATGGCCTGTGGCAGACCCACACCCCAGCGTGTGCCCTGGGCCTGCAGCCAGCATGGATCCCGGTCTCAGCTGGATACACCTAGCAGAGGAGCTGCCCTGGTTTCCCTGGTGACAGACATGGCACCTGTTCATGTGATCACTGGCCACTTAACACTGTCCAGTGCCTGCTTAGATGTTTCCCTGTTTTCTCCGGGTTGTCTGTCAGATTCCAACTTAGCATTTTCCCCCCTTTTTATTTAGTGTTCTGTTTCGTTTGGTATCTTTGCCTACTCTAGGGTTATGCGGATGGTCTCCTGTTTCTTTTCCAAAAGCTAAATTGTTTTACCTCGTATGTGGTAATTTCACAGTCCGCCTGGAATCCTTTTGTACTGGAGGGAGTATCACTATGCGTATTTTCTGTGTCTAGTTGACCAGCTCCATTCTTAGTTGAGTGCAGTGTCACCACTGTCATGAGTCAGGTGACTGTTTTTGGAGTCTCTGTTCTGGTCCACGGATCTTTTTGTTCTTCGTAAGCCAGTGTCCGCCTGCTGCGGGGTTGGCTGAGGTTGCTTGGAGCCTGCACATTGGTTTGGAGGGAAGTGACATCTGGAACATCGAGTCCTCTACCATGAACATGGTTTATCTACTTATGTAGGAGCTTGCTCTGTGTTTTGTAGTTTTTGAAGTAGAGACGTGGCACATTTTTTTGTGACTGTCCCACAGTTCTTGGATAATCTCTTGTTTTTCCTTTTGATCTGTCCTTCTCTTTGTATTCCATCTGGGAAGTTCCTGTTGACCTGCCTCCACGCTCCCTGATTCTTTCCTTCGCCGTGTCTGCTCTTCTGAAGAGCCCATCAGAGGCATTCTTCTTTATTGATTGCCAGCATCACCTCTTGAGTCTTAGAGTTTCTGTCTCTATGCCGTGGTGCCCATCTGTTTCCATCAGAGCCCTTAGCATATTAATCACAGGTGTTTTGAGTTCCCAGTCTTATCAGACAACATCTCTGCCATGTCTGAGTCTGGTTCTCATCTGTCTCTTTGGATTGTGCTTTTTCTTGGCATGTTTTGTAAGTTTTTTTTTTTTTTTTTTGGTGGCTGGTGGGTACAGAGAACTGAACCCTTAACCTTGGTGTTACAAGGCCATGCTCCAACTGGCCAGCCCCATGTCTTGTAAACTTTTGTAGAGAGCCAGACATTGTGTTGGTAAATGGTATGAGGATTTGTTTTCCTGGCTGGGAGTTACTGTGCTTAATGTTTGCTATAGCTGTGGGTTCTGGAAGCTTCCAATTCCTGTAGAATCCTTTTTTTTCCCCACTTGACTTTGGGTTTCCCTGTGTCCCCCTCAGAGCCCAAGTCCTGCAGTTCTTTCAGCTGGAACCCATGGTTATTATGATCGAGCCCTGTTGGTGTGGTGGGAGGGAGAGCATCCTGCAACGTTCCGAGGAGCTCTCGGTCTGCAGCGGGCCTGTGCCTCGTCTTCAGCCTGCACGGTGCTTCCCCCATAGCATCACTTGTCCCTTGCCTGTGTGGGCCCCGGTGTGACTGACGGTGGTTACACTTCATCCCTCTGCTAAGGCCAGGAGGGAGTCCTTTTTAGTCTTCCCCAGGAACCCATCAGGAGAAGCACATGAAGGTGTGGCACCCCTAAGGCTGTGGTTCTTTGTGTTTTCCTGTCTCTCCAGTTTCAGGGGGGTGACCCCAGTTGTCTGATGGGTTTGAGAAAACTGAATGATTTTCAGTTTGTGCAGCTGGGAGCGATGCTGTGGCATTGACGTGGCTGCTGCAGTGCTGGTTATGCTGAAGGCTCCTCCCAGCGGCCGGCTGTGCTTTCCGCCCCTGACTCCGCCAGCTCCTGAGAAGGTCATGCTGTGGGTTTCTCAGTATCAGCGAGGCAGTGGGAAGCTGCAGCGCTTGGTGCTTGCGTGTTTAAGTGTGTGACATCTTCCTAGTGGGCCGACCATCACTTTGAAGTATTCATGGTTGTCTGTGATGATGCTTCGTGCCTTGAGGTCTTGGTCTGATGTTACTCTAGCTGCACTGGAGTTTTTGGGTAGTGTTTGTATAGTATGTCCTTTTCTCTTCTGCTGTTTTACTTCAAACTTCTGTATGTAAATGTGTCTTTTATGAGCAGTATAAAGTCAGGTCTTACCTTTTTTTGATTCAGTCTAACAGTCTTTATTACCTGGAGCGTCCTGTCCACTTATATTGAATGTGTCATTGCTGATTTGGGTTTGCATCTACCATGTGTTTTCTATTTGACCCTCCTGTGTAATGTTTCTTTTCTCCTTGTCTCATTTGGATCAAGTAAAAGTTTTTTATTTATTTCATTTCCCCTTCGGTTAACTTGCTGTTAGTTTTCTTGTTCTTCTGTCAGTGACTGCCCTAGAGACATTTTCAAAATTTTATTGCTTTCTGAAAGCATCAGGCATAGCCTGGCACCCCTTGGCCTGTCTCCGTTGCTGAGCTTCTCTCTGGACATTAGGGTCTCCAGCTGCCGGGGCCTCCTGGAGTGGAGCAGATGTTCTTGGCTTCCATTCTGCCGGCTCCTCTCAGCCCTCCTTATGTCTTTCTTGGTTGGTCAGACTTCACCTGTGTCCTGTGTATTCTCCGTTGGGCACGTGTAATTTAGACGTCATTTCTGAGAAGATTTTTGTCTTTGCCTCCCCTCTGGTGCTGACATGGGAGATGGTGAGGACAGGCTGTGCGTCGTGATGTGGTCTCTCCTGTCTCCTGTGTGTAAAGGCTGAACTTAGCATCAAACCTGTGAACTAGGGCTGGCCCGGTGGCGCACTGCGCTAGTGCGCCGCTTGGGAAGCACGGCGGCGCTCCCGCCGAGGGTTCGGATCCCACATACAGACCAGCCGCTCACTGGCTGAGCGAGGTGCGGGAGCAACACCGAGGGTTGCGATCCCGTAGCCGGTCCTGGTCCGGTCCGGGCGCGACACTGAGGGTTGTGATCTGTGGCCGGTCACGAAAAAAGACAAAAAGGAAAAAAAGAAAAAACCTGTGAACTAAATGTGCCTTTTACATTCTTATTAGGAAAGTTATCAAACACGCATCCTCTCCTGCCCCCAGAGGCAGCACTGCTGCGTGGTGGTGCTCTTTTGAGGCTGAGGTCACATCAGTCGTGTCGGTGCACCGTGTGGCTCAGGATCCCGGGTGTTGGGGAAATGGCACAGACGGAGTTTCCTGCACCCACGTCTGTTCCAGTCCTCACACAGGGGCCCAGCCTGACCCTGCTGTGTTTCTTCTGCAGCCTGGCACCCGCTGAGTCTGGTCCTGGGAGTTGAGCCTTCACGCCTGCCCAGCAGGGACTTGCTGTTCCCAGGGGAGGAGGAGCTGGACGCTGATGGTCAACACAGAACATCTGGTCCACGGTGCTTCCATCCATCCAAGGGTGGTGCTGGCTGGGGTGTTTGGCGTTGGGACTTGGAGGTCATCACCAGATGGCAGCTTTTCCTCACGTGTGCCTGCGCTCTAGTGACCTGGGGTGTCCATGCTTCTGCCTTTATTTAAACCCAAACGTACTTCCTATAAAATCACGTTCCCACCATTGTCTGTCTCTGAGGCTGATGTGTGGGAGGGTGACTGACTGCCCAGGGAAAACTGGAGGTCCCGGATTGTGGCCCTGCTCCTCCTGCAGTGGGTCAGGCCTGGCTCTGCCCAGTCGAGGCCACCAATGTGCATGTTTTTAGCTGAGAGAGGTCCGTTTTGATCAGTCGGTCAAATCATGCAAGGCCCAGAGGACGGCTAAGCAGGCGCCATTCCTGGGCCCATCTGCAGGGTGGGGCGGTTGTCCTCCCACCTGCACGTAGGTGAGTGTGGTGAGAGACAGGCGTGCAGCCCCGCAGCACCACAAATGTCTGCTGTGAGGGATCATCAGAATCCAGTGTGTGTTCTTCTAGGACAACATGGGAAATGTCCCAATTGACTTGCTCATTCTTGAGAAGATGGTACCTTTTTCTTCTAACGATAGGCAGTGCAGAGCACACACTTGTTTCCTAAGCAAAGGGTGGTAGGCTGCTCTTGGCCCCACGTGTCTGAGTTCATGCTGACCTATCCTAAAGCCAGCTGAGGTTGACGTGTGTAAAAAGTTCACGGCTTTTACAACTCACACACATCTACCTGCCCCCCACCCCTTGCTATGCTCGCAGGGGCTTGGGGTGCAGGACTAGCCCTGCTAGTGCCTAAGAAGCCGCATGTGTAGCCAGTCACAGAGGCCTGAGGGGTTGGGTGGGCAGCCCTGTGCCTGCTGTCGAGAGCTAAGGGGGTAGCGTGCTTTGTGTGGACTGGGCCAGCTCTTCTGCCTGCTTCTGGTGGGTTGAGGTCTGGGTACACAGGAGGGCGGGCAGGCACAGAACTGGGAGGTGTTCACATCTGAGGTGAAACTGTTGTGCTTCTCATTTATGATGTCATCAGGGCCACAAGCCCAGCTCAGGCCATGGTAGGAGACTTGGGCTTGACACAGGGGTGCTACACTGCTGCCTTCATTAGCAGTTGCTATTTAGGGCCTGGGTTAAGCCACCAAACCTGCTGGAAATTTTTGACTTCTTCGTGCTAGACCTTGTGGCCAATAATCTTTACCTGCTAAAAGAGAAAGCACTGGATTACATTTGTGACATTTTTTTTTATTTCATTCAAGCCTTAACACATGCCTCCCTCTTGAACGAAGAGGTGAGCTTTCTGTTCTGGATAAAAGATCAGCACTGAGCCCCTGGCCTGCCTGAGGCCAGGTGGTGAAGGGTCCTAGATGGCCAGGCCCAGCATTGGCCACACAAGGACAGGCTTGGCGCCTGCGATGTCTGTCAGGTGCAGAACTGGGGCCCCTTCCTGCCCATGGTTCACAGAGCTCCTGCTGGCCCAGGACGGTGCTGCATATGGAGGAGAGCAAGTGGTTTTTGAGAAGAAAGAACGAACTATTATTACAGAAACCACAAGAGATTCCGAAGAAATGGCATTTTAAGACATGGAGACAGGTAGGTGCACCACACAGCCCTGTAGATGACACTGGATGTTCAATGCTGGCCTAACGCTGCAACCCAAGGAAAGTTGGGTCATGCCACAGGCCAGCTGCCTCTGCCACACCGGGTCCCAGCCATCACCACTGCTGTTTCTCTCCAGAGACCTGGTGGCCTGGAACACCCTCCTCTGGTTTCTGGAGCCCACGCAACCCAAGGAAAGTTGGGTCATGCCACAGGCCAGCTGCCTCTGCCACACCGGGTCCCAGCGATCACCACTGCTGTTTCTCTCCAGAGACCTGGTGGCCTGGAACACCCTCCTCTGGTTTCTGGAGCCCATTTGGGTCCAGGTGCTGGAATTTGGTAGGGAGCCCCTTCCTCTCACATCTTACATGAGAGCCAGGAGCAGACAGCAGCAATGGAACAGTGTGCTGGCATGCTGTAACCAGTGTGCCCAATGGCAGACAGAGAAGAGCACACTCGTGGCTCCAGAAGTGGAACAAGCTTTGTGAGTTTGAAGAGCAGCAAGAAGCCAGTGTGCCTGGAACAGATGTGCAATGGGGCCTGGCAGGGGCTATGTGTGCCCATAACCACGTTTTAGCCACAAACCAGGGACCTCGGAGATCCTGAGGGTTTCTGATGAGTCCTAGAGTCTAACCCTGAAGTTTTGTTTTTGATAGCAGAAAGGGGGGGGGGGTAGGATATAAGGCCCAGGGCCAAATCTAATAGGGGACCCTCACCTAAAGCTGGGGCCCTGAAGGGCCGTATCCTCGGTGATGAGAACTAAATCCTCCTCAAAGAAAGGAACAGCAGCAGCACTCGGTGACCTTAACACTACCTGTGTGATACCCAAAACTCCCAAAGTGAAAGAGCTGATTAAACTGGACCAGGGGTGGGAGAAGCAAATCTGAAACCTTTCTGGAAGGATGCAGGCTGGTTTCTACAGAGGGAATGAAAACACACAAACACCAGGCATCACAGCAAGACTCAATCCCAAAGGACTGAAGGCAGTGGTAATACCAGACACAAAATATAAAATGAATACCTTTCTGAAAACTAAAGAGCTGGAAATTGTAAAGAAGAGATTAGGAAAAAAGAAACAGTGCCTAGAAATGAAAAATAGAAGAAGTGACATTAAAAGCATAATGGATGGATGAATAAACAACTAGACACAGCTGAAGAATTAGAGAACCAGAGGATCTGAAATTACCCAGAGAGACACTGGAAAAATATGAAAGCAGCATTCAAGAGGCACTGAAGAGTCTCACCTGTGTACAGTTGGGGGTCTCAGGAGGAGACGATGCACATACTTCATCCTTGTTGATATGCAACATCCCCGGATATAGAAGCCTAACAATCCCAAACAAGATGACAATAGCCCGGACCTGGACACGCCACATGAAACTGCAGAACTGTTAGAAGATGTGGGGAGAGGAGCAACTACCACCTTCCCAGCAGCACTGGAGTTGGTCTTTATTATACTGACAGAAAATAACTGTCATCTTGGTTGAACTGTATACCTCGTATAACCATCATTCAAGAAAGAAAACAAAACAAAGTCATTCATATAAAAGTAAGCCTTTCTAATGCATGGTTGTTTTCTCAATCTTCACACTGATATTTAGGGCTGGATCATTCCTTGTTGTGGGGGCTGCTCTGTGCATGGTAGCATGTTTAGCAACCTCCTGGATGCCAGTAGCCTTCCCCCTTCCCAGTTGTGACAACAGAAAACATCTCCAGGCATTGGCCAGGTGTCTCCCAGGGGCAATTTTGTCCCTGGTTAAGAACCACTGCTCTGGTGGATAAACCTGAGGCAGAAGAAAAATGATTCCAGTTGGAGAATGCTGAGCAAAGAAAGCAGCAGATAAAAAGGATGGCTGGATGGATTTTTTTAGAGCATGTAGAATTTCTTAAAACAAACAATACATATAAACCAAGGGCAGAGCTAGTGACTGGATTTAAAGCATCTCAAGTCCTCCTATTCTCTGGAACAGAGTACAGATAATTAAACTATCAGCTTGGCTAAGTATGCATGTTGACATATTCAGGGTCACCACAAAAAGAGTTAATATATAGAGAACATAACTTCTACACTGGGACAAAATGGAGTAAGAAAAAAATGCAAGAATGGCAAGAAAAAAAGGACAGGCTGCAAAATCAAACATTAGAAATATTTTAGCATATACTAAGTATAAATGGATTAAATTCTCCAGTTGAATGACAAAGATTAGACTGGATAAAATATAGCTTCGTGCATTTACAAGTGATACACCTAAAACAAAGGCATAGATAGTCAAAAGATACACTAAATACAAAGAAAGCTGGCCCAGCATCACTAAGAGAGTACTTATATTAATATTTTTAAAAAGTTAAGGTAATTAGTGTTGTCAGAAATTACATGATTAAAGGTTCAACTCAACAGAACTTTTCCCACGTGTATGTACCTAGTAACACAGTCTCACAATATGTTCAAGCAAGCATTCAAGAGGAAATTGATCTACCCCCAGTGTATTTTATTGAAGTTGATACATTTGATGCAAAATTAGTAAGGATTTGGTGGAAAAACAAAAGCTTGAACTAATGGAAGAGTGTAGAGTGTAGAATTCAAATGTGCATGTTCATATTACATATTCTCAAACTTGAATAACAGATGCTTTAAAAAAATGGTTTAAAAAGAAATAATGAAAACTATAAAATATCTAATGAAAGTTAATAAAATTCTAAATCACAACAGGTGGAATTCAGCTGAAGTGGTGCTCAAGTGAGTGATTCTGAAGCCTGGAATTAGATATATTAGAGAAGAAAGGCTGAAAATTAATGAGCTAAACATGATGTAGGAAGTTAGAATAAACCTAAAGAGAATAACGGCAAGAGCAGACTTTATGAAAGGGAACTGATGAATGATAAAGAGGTCTGACAGCCCAAACGGTGCTTCAGTGAAGACCTACCTGGGAGTGGCTGCCACGGTCTGTCAGCTGAAGTGCAGGAAGTCCCGGCCCTCCTGCAGGTTCAGAGACCTCAGGTTCTCCTCAAATGCACCCCCTGTGAGATCCTGTTGGGGGAGCAACAGATCCAGCTTGATAGGGCTACTGCAGAGCCTTCCACGGGGCCTGGGGGGTGGCGGTTGCCTGTCAGGTGTTCTACTGTGACCTGCTCCTCTGCTAATAGGGGAGAGGCTGGAAGGAGACTGAAGGCCAGAGGTCAGCAGCCAGGGCTGCTTGTACACAGGCCTTGTTGGTCAGCAGTGGCAGTGGTGGGGGGACTCAGGGATTGAAATGAGACTCTAATGGGCACTCTCCTGACTCCCGACTGTCCCTGGAGCTTCCACGCACCCCTCTCCCTAGCCCCCACATCTGCTGGGACCAGGGGTGGGAGGAGGCCCCTCGAACAGAAACTGCCTCTCAGAAACACTGGCTGGCCACCCTCTCTGATCCCTCCTGTCACCACCACCCCCTGAGGCAGAGCAGCAGCTGTGATCCCGGGCCCCAAATGCTTCACCTCGTCCTGTATGTTGGCCTCAGCCAGACCCCCTAACCCCAATCCCGACCGTCCTGCTGGGGGCACAGGAGGTTTCCAGAAATGCCTGCGAGGTGAGGGCAGGTGGGCAGGCTCCTGGGTCCACCCCTCAGCTCAGTGCCTGCCACCCAGGCCGCCTCCTGCCTCAAGAGGACAGGGCCCAGCATAGAGGTGGACAAATGCCCTGGGCCTCTGGCAGGATGCAGGAGGGACGCCGCTGTTCCCATCAGAGTCATCTGCCTGTCCTTGGGCCTGACGCGGGGACTCAGCCTGGCTGTGCCAGAATCCACCGCTGCTCCTCTTCTCATATTACTGCTGTTATTACTGAGCTCTGGCTAGAAATGTGTGAATGAAAAACACCCTACCTGAAAAATATGTGAAGTTCCCACACTCTGTCCTCTAGCTGCTGCCACCCCCAAACCCATTCTTCCCTCATTTCCCTGCTCCTAAACTTTGCAGAGGAAACACGCCTGGGTTCAGGGGCCATCCCTCGTGGGCTGCAGCTGCTGGAGACAGTGGCCTGTGTTCTGCCCATGCATCCTCCCACGACACCCTCCTGCACGACCCAGGCCGGCTACCCATCCATTGCTGTCCTCTCTGGCGACCTTGCTGTGTGCACAGCCCACCTGCCCCCCACCCTGAGCCAACAGGGGTCAGGGCTGGCCAGGCGGCCACCTGGATCCATGGGAGCTCAAAGGACAAGGGCCACTGACCCCCCCACCCTCTGGTCAGGCCTCAGTGCCACCACTTTGGGAGCTGGTGATGGGCTCAGGGATCGGCTGTGTTTTCTCTTGGTAGATGTTTGGAATTTTTGAATATGTATATTTATTTTTTTTGGTGGCTGGCTGGTACGGAGATCTGAAGAGAAACAAACCCTTAAACTAGGAATGAAAGGGAACTTCCTCCTCCGGGTAAAAGACATTTACAAAAACAAGCAGGCGAATGACTCGCCCCCACATCCAGTGAGGAGGTCTTCAGAAGCAAGGCTGGCCGGGGTTGCAGGAGGGGAAGGGCAGGCGGACGCGTCGCCGTCTACCACGAGACCCAAGCTGGGGGAACAAGGAACAGTTCCAGCGGCCGGCAGCGTCAGACCCACACCGAGCCCCCGTCACGTCTCTGCGCCAGCAGCAGGCGGACGATGCAGCTCGGGACAGACGCGTGCATCGGAGCGAGAGCCTCCCGAGGGCCCAGGAACAGAGTGAGACGCATGGGGCCGTCTGCAGTCGGTTCTCCCACGGTCATGGAGTCAGTCTGTGCCGAGCACGTTCCCATCAGGGATTTCTGGGGAACCATCGGGCAGAGCTCAAGACAGTGAGGCAGCGCCGAGGTGCAGCCCACAGGCGTGGCCCGGCAGAAGGACGCCACGGAGGGCGCGGAGCAGGGCAGTGGGGAGAGGAAGCTGACTCACCCCGCCCAAGACACCGTCACTGTAGGTGAACTGTGGGCTCAGATGCAAGAAGGGACATGGTTTCACACGAGACCTGTACTCTCTGACCAAGGGCGGGACCTTCCTACACAGCACACAAGGTGTTCGTCATAAAAGTCGGCAAATGCCACTGCGTTAAAAGTACGTTCTTCTGGAAGAGCCTGTGCAAAGACAGCGGGAAGTTTTAAAAGCCATAAGAAAGACAGGCGGAGCGAAGAGAAGAGTGCGACAGACTCCTCGTGGGACACGGTGTGAGTGAGAAGTGGGTGGAGCAATGTTTTCAAAGCAGTGACAGAAAAAACGACAACCTAGAATTCTGTTCACAGCAAAGCAGATCTCAAAAATAAAAGCAAAATAAAGATTTTTAAAACATATACAAAAGCTGGAGAAGGTGTGCCACATGCTCGACTGGCCAAGGACCAGTGTCCAGAGTGCATCAGGGTCTCCTAAAATCTGAAAAAAGGACCAATGACCAACAGACGGGCTCAGCCCTCGTGACATGCCTCAGCCCTGAGCAGGGAGCCTGGCATCCTGCGTACAGAGCACATGGGGGTGAGAACAGGCCTGAGGCCCCCAGTGCCACTGAGGGGCCAGAGCCGGTGGGTCCTGTGGGTGGGACTTCTCAGTGGCCCCGTGGTCACTGCACTTACGGGCATGCAGACCCCACGGTGTTCACATATCTCATCACACTGACCATAGCACTGGACGAGGACCCGGTGCTCAGATCTGGCACTTTGCAAGTTCCTGGTAAACGTTTGTTTTATGAAGAGTTTAAAGGCAGAAATGAGACCAGCCTGATGAGGGCTTCTGGGCACGCCTGCTCTTCCCCTAAGACCCCTGGCAGCCCCTGTCCTCCCACTCCTGTGCAGGCCACTAGGTGGTGGCCACTCCTGCTGTCTAGTTCCTGGTAAACGTTTGTTTTATGAAGAGTTTAAAGGCAGAAATGAGACCAGCCTGATGAAGGCTTCTGGGCACGCCTGCTCTTCCCCTAAGACCCCTGGCAGCCCCTGTCCTCCCACTCCTGTGCAGGCCACTAGGTGTTGGCCACTCCTGCTGTCCCAGCCCACAGTGCTGTGGTGGAGGGGGATGAGCTGTGGCTGTGTCCCCACGTCCACGATGACACAGCCGGGCTGCTGTGGCAGAACCCAAGCCCCCCATGCTGCAGCAACACTCACCAGCTTCACGCAGATGACGAAGGGTGGCCGGGCGGCTCGGAAGTGCAGGATGGGAACACAGGGCTTGGGCCTCTCCTGAGGGAGGGGAGGCGGTGTCAGCCCCGTGCCAAGGTGCTCATTACAGGAGACAGAAGGCCCCTTGTGGTGTGCACCGGCCACGAGCGTCTGCTTACGTGCGTGATGCACATGGAGCTGCAGACGTTGAGGACAGACAGCTGGACCCACCCCATCCCCTGCCTTACAGCCACCTGCAGAACTAGCCAGGGTGGGCCGACCGCAAGGTCCAGACCCACAATGAACATGCAGAAGCATCTCCCCCAGGGAATGGGCTCCCTGGGGCCCTGGAGACCCCAAGGAGTGGGGCAGGAGGTGGGCTGCATCTGCTGGGGGGCCCAGGTGGCCTCTCAGGGAGGAAGGCTCAGGCAGTCCACTCAGCCCAGTAGTGACAGTGTGGGGGAACCCGTGCGGGTGCCCAAGGCTCACCCTCCCTGTAGGGGCACCCTGGGGCTCCTGTGACGTGGTCCCCCCAGACCTGGGAGTCCTCGTAGCAGTAGACGCCCTTCCTGATCTTGTTCTCATCGACGTCACAGAAGGCAACCACCTGGGGGATAAGCACAGGCCGGCAGCTCAGACAGGCCAGTTCTTTGCTGCTGGGTGGGGGGAGGGGGTGGGGCTGGGGGACAGAAGGATGGGGACGGGGGCAGGGCCCACCTTGCGCCGGCTGGCGGCGGTCAAGCTGCGGTACAGCCTGCGCCCCTGCCTGCCCGCATTCCAGATGGTGAAGGCCTCCCACTGGGGCAGGGCCCGCTCTTCCAGGAACTGGACACGGTGGGCCCAAATGGTTGTCCTGTGGCAGAAGAGAAGCGTAGCTGGCACTGGCTGGGTGTGCGGGCTCCTGTACTGCCTCACCCAACCTCCTGGCCCTGGTGCACACACACGGGCAGCATCCACTCAGATACCAGGCCTGGAAGCCTGAGGGAGACACAACCGCCCTGCTGTCAGGCTGCCTGCCACGAAATTTTTGTCTATAAGGAAAGGTTGTGCTCTGTCCCATAAAATCGTAGCATCTACACCTGCCCTGGTAGCAGAAACCTCTGATTTCCCCCTTGGACCCTCGTCTGAGCACTTTCTGCCCTGCTGTGACGGGCAAGCTCCGTCCTCCAGGCAGCCGCGTCCACACTCCTGCAGCCCCTCCTGGGATCAGGTTCCTTCATATGCCCTGTGTGCGCTGCCCAGACCCTGCCCCAGCATGATGTCCAGGTGGCCTGTGTGTGGGCACCTCTCTCTGTCTCGATACCCTGTGCATCTGAGTCACACTGTAGGCCCACACTGGACCCCTGAACAGCCCAGAAGGCATCCAGGATGTCTGCAAGTTGCTGCGACGCAGCCCATCCAGGGCTTCAGTGTGTTGAATGTGGTGCCCACATCCCTACCTGTTGAGTTCTCGTGACACCTGCATGTTCCAAATGCCCCCAAGCACCTTGAAGGGCTGTGTCCACTAGTAACTCCCCCGGTGCTGGGTTTGGGCCATGCCTTGCTGTGTGTGTGTTGGAGGGGAAGGGGCCACGGCCGGGCCCCAGGGCAAGGCACTGACACATTTTCAGCCTTGGTCTGGGCAGGTTTTGGCTGTTCGGCGCTTCTTGCTGCCTTATCCTCCCACCTTGCATTTTAAACTTAAACATTTTAATCAGCTGTGGTGCTGAGCTGTGGGAATTTCGGTGGGGATTCCCCAGTGACGCTGGGGCTCACGTGGGTGAGTAACCTCCTAACCCTGGGCTCTGGCCAATCCCTTTCGTGGCCATTGAGTGCTTCATTTCCAAGAGAAACGCACACGAAACCTGCTCCATTGGCAACAGCCAAGAAAATGAAATTTCCAGGAACAGAAGAACCATGAACTTCACACAATTTAGTTTTAACAAACTGACGAAATCCTTAGCAGCTCCAGATAAGAAAGGTGGAAAATGCAGGGTGCAGTAGTCCTGGAGACGATCCGGATGTGAGGAAGCAACATGGGAGGTCAGTGGGGAACTCGGGGTGTTCTGGGTGGGGCAGGAGCAGGACGTGCCCCTCAGGGGTCCCTGGCAAGCAGAGGGACGTGCTCAACGCCCCAGGCCCTGCCCCGACAACTCCTGAGAAATGAGCTCAGCCCCACAAGGTGGGGGGTTACGGTTCTAGGTGGAGCAGATGTGAAGGAGCTTCCGGCACAGGCTGGCCAGCCGACCCCTGACCTGCTCCTGACCCTGGGGCACCCTCGCTTGTCTAGACACCCTTGCAGGTAACCAGCTCTGTGGCAGCCCATTCCCTGTCCAGCCTTGTCCAGGCTGGGCTCAGGACAGTGAGGGTGCCGTCCTGTCCCCTCTGCAGCTCAGACCCGCACCCCCAGGGAGGTCCTGCCTGGAGAGCTCCTCACCCTCACCCAGCCTTCCCTTCTGCAGCCACCTGGGCCACATGGAGACGCTAGTCCCAGTTAGGGTCCCCAGGGCAGCCCCCGACGTAGGGAGTGTGCATGCTGTGTGTGTGTGTGCCGTGAGTGCACGTGTGTGCATGTATGCATGGGCACTGCAGTGGACACATGTGCGTGTGGATGCACGTGTGCAAGGACTGCTCCTACAGAAAACTGCCTGAGACTCACCCACGAGGTGATGTGGTTTATGACAGGTTTATGGTGTCCTGTCCATGAACAGGCTGGGTCTGTCTGGCATCCCTGTGGGGGGACAAACCCTCATCCTACCACCCACAAAATCAGTTTGTAGAGACTGTGGGTCTAAACATGAAAGGAAAACAATCAAGATGCCAGAAGAAAAAAGACCTCTGTGACCTTGGGGTTGGCACGGAAAGTGTTGCGATCCAGGATAACAATGCCTCTTCTTGTCCCAGACGTGGCATCCTCCCAGGACCAGAGTCCAGAGTGAGCACACGACCCAGCCGTGCCTCAGCGGCCTTGCCTGAGCTCTCTTGGGCCGTCCCTGACCTGAGAGTGTTGGCACAGTGTAAGAAGATAAGATTGGAAACAGCCATCTGTATTTTGAGCAGTAAAAGCACTTCTTGCAGCTGGCATGTTTCTCCCTGGGTGTCCCATTTTTCATTTTTTAGTTCTTATTCACCACACCAGAAGACAGCAGTCCCAGGAGGCGGGAGAGGCGGCATTGGGGCGCTGGCGGCAGGACTGGGGTGTTCCCCTCAGCCAGGAAAAGAGGGCGTGAGAACTCCATCAGCACTGTCTGTGACAGCAGATGTGAGAAGAGCCATCACCAAGAGGACACGCACGTTGGCAGCGCGGTGCCATGTGGCTGTGGAGAAGGACGATCCATCTTCAGTCCGTTTGTGCGGCTGTCGCAGGACACCTGAAGCCTAGTCGCTCACAAGCAGCAGAGGCGTGTTTGTCATGGCTTGATCCAAGGGCTGGAGCTGCGGCATCCCGTGACCAGCTCCATCTCTCCTCCCAATGGTGCCCTGTTGCTGCGGCTGTCGCAGGACACCTGAAGCCTAGTCGCTCACAAGCAGCAGAGGCGTGTTTGTCATGGCTCGATCCAAGGGCTGGAGCTGCGGCGTCCCGTGACCAGCTCCATCTCTCCTCCCAATGGTGCCCTGTTGCTGCGTCCTCCGGAGGGGACACTGTGGTGTCCTTGCATGGCGGGAGGGGAAAAGGGCCTGAGCCAGTCCCTCCAGCCCTGTTATGAGGCACTAACCCATTCGTGAGGGCAGAGCTCTCGTAACTTCATCACCTGTCACGATGCCCACCTCTTAATTCTGCCACAAACCACATGGTGGTGCAGACAGACAACCCATCGCGGGAGGATGTGCCATCCTCGTGTACACGGGCAGCATAGCACCACGCGGCTGCGATGAGGGGCGGAGAAAACACGGAGGGACACAACGGCAGTCCCATGCCGCACAGTGACGTTTCAGTCAACGACGCACCACATACACAATGCACAACGGTGGTCCCGCAAGACGATAATGGAGCTGAAAAATTCCCACCACCTAGTGACCTCAGGTGTAAGATCCAGCGCGACGCATGTCACTGCGGTGGTGCTGGCGTAAACACACCTACTGCAGAGCACATGCAGGGGGTTGCCCGGCTTACCCACAGGTGACCCTCCCTAAGGCGCTCAGACCTTTAAGACAGGAAGCCGAGCATTTGACACACTAGGTCTGACCCCACGTGCAAGCGTGGTTGTCAACGTTAGAACTCTTGCATTTTTCAGTGGTCCCCACCTGTCCCCATAGCAGGGTAACAGTGGGCGGCATTGAGCTAACACTCCCTGAGCATCTGCCGAGTGCCAGGCACAACCCTACCTGCAATCTGGGGGGCGGAGGTGTTCTAATCCCCACTTAACAGATGGGGACAGTGAGGCACGGACAGACTTGGTGGCGTAATCAGAGGGCCAGTGCAGGTGACAGGAAAGCCACTGCTGCTCCTTTCATGATACACTTTTGTGCAACCACAAAATTGCCTGCGGATGCATTTCTCAGAATGTGTTCCTGTCGTTAAGGGACACATGACTGTATAATGTGGAGCAAAAAATTAACCCTTGCAGAAAGGATACAGGCCACATGATATTATTTACATATTTCAAAACAGGTAAAGCTTATTGTTTAGAGAGACACATACATACAGTAAACGTATAAAGAAATGGATGAAATGATAAACACCAGGTTTACAGGGACAGGTAACGTTTAATTTCCTAAAGACATTATCCCTTTATGTCTAAAGTACTTAATAGAAAAAACTTGCTAAATGGTATAAATGCTGACCATTCTCAATTTAAAAAGAACGGACAGAGTCGGGGAGCGCTCTCCGGCTGAGGACTTGGAGAGAAAACGTGAGCCAGTCCCGCCTCTGCGAGCCTGGGTTATAATTAGAGCTCATTACCCAGCGAGGCTGCCACTCGGCGCATGGTCTCTAATCCGACACAAGCTCACATTAGATCACTTCTTTTGTGTGGTGGGTGGCGAAACCTCGTGCTGAAGAACAGCTTTATCCCATGCAGGCAGGATGACATCGTGCAGCACAGCCTGTGGCCCGCTGCCTGGCTTCCTCCCAGAAACGCTGCACCCGCCGCACTGGCCCAGGCAGTGCTTGCCACCCAGGGCGACTTGGTTTCTCAGATTAGTACAGGAACGGCCATGCGCATACAAAACTCCCCCCACGCGGTCTCAGGTGCACACTGAGTTGGGCGCACACTAAGTGACCCCTCAGGATGACGGCGGAAGGGTTTCCAGACTTCGCAGCATGTCACGGTCCCACCAAATGATTTCCAGTCCTGAAAGCACCTGGCTCTGTTTACAGATGGCGGGGGAGGGGCGACGTCCCTGGAGAAACACTTGTCAGACATTTAAAACATTTTTAATTAAGGTATGATTTACATAGAGTGAAGGATCTTAAGTGTACAGGTTGGTGGGTCCAGAGAAAGAAGATATCCACGTAACCCTCCCCCTCCCCCCCCAAGGCACAGAGCACTCCCAGCACCCCAGGTCCCTCCCCAGAGGAAACCGTGCTGCGAACATCCACGCCACGGTCTGGTTTCGCCTGTTGGAGAACTTCACATCCATGGAAGCCTGCGGCGTGTCACGTACGCGTCCCAGTCTGGCTTCGTGCACTACTATGTCTTCTTATATTAGCCCATGTTCTCGCAGGTGTCGGTGGTTTGTTTCCGTTTATTGCTGCGGAGAATTTTTCACATCCATGGAAGCCTGCGGCGTGTCACGTACGCGTCCCAGTCTGGCTTCGTGCACTACCATGTCTTCTTATATTAGCCCATGTTCTCGCAGGTGTCGGTGGTTTGTTTCCGTTTATTGCTGCGGAGCATTCCACGCAGCAGCTTATCCATTCATCTGTTGATGAACATCTGGGTTGCTCCCAGTTCTTGGCTATTATCAATAGTGATATGTCGAGGAATGTTTTCGTTTCTCTTGGATAAACACCAATAAGCAGAATTACTGGGTCATAAGGCAGGTATCAGTTTGATTAATAAAAAAATACCAAACAGTTTTCTAAGAAAGGATGTACCGCTTTACACCCCTGAGAACAATCTGTGAGTTCTGCTAGTTCCACGTCCTTGCCCACGTCTGGAATTGCCAGGCGTTCATGTTAGCCATTCTAGTGGTGTGCGGAGGTTTTAGATTGTGTGTCTCTGATACTGATAATCATGAATACTTTTTCATTTGCTCGCTGACTATTTATATATATCTTGCTTTTTGAGATGTCATGTCTGTTCAAGTATTTTGCCTATTTTTATTGGATTGTTTGACTTATTATTATTGGGTTGTAAGGGTCCGTTATAGAATACTAGTCCTCTGTTAAATATAAGAATTATGAATATTTTCTCCTAGTCTGTGGTTGCCTATTCATTTTCCTAATGGTGTCTTTTTACAAGCAAAAGTTTTTAGTTTTGATGAAGTCCAATTTATCAACTTCTAAATGTTTAATGATTCTAACATCCTCTATAACAAATTTTTGCCAATCCCAAAGTCATGAAGATACTCCCTGATGTTTTCTTCCAGATGCTTTATAGTTCTACCCCTTTTACACTTATAGCTAAGATACATCTTAAATTAACTTTTCCATATGGTGTGAGATAGGACTTGAGATTCACTTTTTGTCCACGTGGATATCTGGTTGTTCCATCTATTGAAAATATTTTCCTTTCTCCATTGAGTGGCTTTGGAGACTGTTGAAAAATCAATTGATTGTGAGTCTATTCCTGGCTTCTCTATTCTCTTTCTTTGATATGTTTGTCTGTCTTTTATGCTATTGCTACATTTTCCTGATTGCTGTAGCTTTAGGGTAAGTCTGAAAATCAGACATTCCGAGTCCTCAAATTCTGTTCTTTTCTAGATTGTTTAGGCCATTCTGGGTTTTTTGCATTTCCATGTGGATTTTAGAATCAGATTATCAATTTGAACAAAGAAGTCTGCTCGGACTTTTATTGGAATGTGCTGAACCTGCAGATCAATGTGGGGACGACTGACATGTTATGACGCCTTGTCTCCCACTCTATGGAGGTGGTGTAGCTCTCCTTCCGCAAGTCTCCTTTAAATTCTGTCGGCAATGTGTTTTGTAGTTTTTAGTGTAGACGACACACACACACTTGTTAAATTTGCCTGTGTACTAAGATACACAGGTAAGTTTACTGTGTGTCTCTCTCTCTCTATATAACTGAACTTGCATTCTTGAAAACTTGCTAAATTATTGGCTGTTGTCCTGTGAAACACAATCATGCTACCTACAAATGATGATAGTTTTACTTCCACTTCCTAATGTCTATATATTTTTTTTCTTTTTACCTTACTGTACTGCCTCCAATAAAATGATAAACAGACGTGGTGAGAGCAGACGTCACTGCCTTGCTCCTGATCTTAGGGGGTAAGCGTTCAGTCTTTCATTATTAAGTGTGAAGTTAGTTGTAATTTTTGGTAGATGTTAGACTGAGAGAGCTCCCTTCCAATGTTAGTTTGCTGAGGTTTTTTTAAAAAAATAAACAGGTATTAAATTTTGTCAAATGCTTTTTCTGAATCGACTGGGTTAATTTTTCTCCTTTATTCAGTTAATGTAGTATAAAACATTAAGACTGATTTTTGAATGTTAAACTAGACTTGTATTCGTGATGTATTATCATTTCATATATATTGCTGTGATCGATTTGCTAATTCTTTGTGAACGATTTTTGCATCTATTTGCATGAGAGACACTGGACTATAATTTAATTTTCTTGTAACGGTCTTGTGGCATTCCAGTATCAGTGTCACACTGTTTTCATGCAGTGAGTTGAGAGTTCCTTCCCAATACCCGACACGTCTCTCTCCTCCTCTATTTTCTGGAAGAATTTATGTAAGATTGGTACTGCTCCTTCCTTAGATCTTTGACAGAGTACAATCTGGCTTTTCTTTGTGGGAGGTTAAGTTACTACTTTAACTTTAATTATTATTTATTCTTTAGTTTTGGCAGCTGGCTGGTATGGGGATCTGAACTCCTGACCTCGGTGTTATAAGGTAGTATTTATTCTTTAAATGTCTGTAGGATCTGTAGTGATGACCCCTTTTTCATTCCCAATATTAATAATGCCACATTTTCTTTCCTTTTATTTATTTATTTATTTATTTATTTTGTCTTTTATCTTTTTCCGTGTCTGGCAACGGATCGCAACCCTCAGTGT